TTCCACCACAGTAGAGTGATAGTTTCTGAAAAATTAACTGCAATTAATCGCAAATCTTGAGATTAATCGCTATTAAAATATTAGTTCCCAGCACTAATATTTAACATTGCTTTRTATTGTAAAAGGTTCAACTAGTGCATCTTAAAAAAATTGGAATCTTTTGACATTGCTCTCGGGACACCACAATCACTACTGGCTTTTAAAATGACTTTCAGAAGACAAAACATCATCAAAAGGCAGTATATACAGTACATGAAATGTTTTTTTATGGTTATGTAAATAATTGATAATGTAATTTTAAAGTGTTTAACATTGTAGAGCTACAAAGTGCCTTGTTTTACATAGTCAATTATATTATTAGTAGTAAATGTTGGTTAGATCTTAAAATTTACCCTAATGTAAACAATTCCTCCCATAATAGCAGCAGCCATTTATTGGTATGCACTTGAAGTAATTTGTAACACTTAAATGATCAAAAGCAGGGTAGTTAATAGACCCTAACGTATCACAAACATTTCTAACTTTTGTTTTTGTTTTTGTTTTTACTCCAGAGGCTAAATGAAAACCATCATGCTCTGCCTATTGGACCAAAACCCCCAGAAGCACCATTGGACCCCTTAAAATCAATGGGGGACCTTCATACCCGTCTTTATGAACTCCAAGATGACAAGACACCTTATTTTGTCCACACGAAAAATGGAGCTTTTTGTTTCAAACAGGGAATGGAGGTGGCTACCCCAAAGGAATACCCTATAAAAGGAGAGGCTGGAGCTAAAGAAGTCGAAAAAGTGGGTCAAGCCGCACAACGGAAACCTCTGGAGCTTCAGCAACAGCCCTCCATGGCTCCAAAGGCTAAAGCACGATCCAAGCGCGGCGGAAAGCGGCTGGTTAAGTGTGTATGTCGACCCGGGTGGCATGGACCTTATTGTGGAGTTCCCACCATGGTGTACCACTCCAATCTGCCAACCAAGGAGCGGCTGACGCCCAGGGAGACCCCACGGAGGGTGATCAACGCCATCAACGTCAATCATGAGTTCGACCTGTTGCACGTACGCTTTCGTGAGCTTGCGCAGGCTGTAGATTTATTCATTGTGTGTGAATCTAACTTTACTGCCTATGGAGAAAAACGGCCTTTAAGGTATGTAATGTAATTTTTTTTGTTTTTTGTTTGCATGTAAATATTAAAAACTTCATACCTGCTTGTTTTTAATTCTAAACAATTCTTAGTGGAAGTAAGGAACGTGAGCCCACGCTTCACTTTTCTCAATCTATAGGATTTGTCTCTTGTAGAGCTGTGTATGTGAAATTATTTGTCAGTTGTTGTTTTTTTTTTTTTTAAATGAAAAGTAATGTAGTTTATGGATAAATGTCTGAGAAAATATCCATTGGGAACATGACAACAATGGACAGGGATTGTGCAATGCATTTTGGGAGTTTAGGATACAGAAGTTAGCAGCAGAGATGGGTTAGCAGTACAGTTTGTTTCATTGTTGTTTTGGTTTTGTGATCCACCGTAAAAATMCACTCAAAAGGTGAATGCAAGCCATCTTATCAACAGCCACAATCATTCTCATGATCGGAGGGGAAAAGTATTGCAATGGGATTGCGTTTTTTTTCAGCTTTTCGGCATGAAAACAACACAGAGGGATAAACTAGCCCAACTGCTTTGTTTTTGGAAGATCGCGCGCTGCTTCGCTTCTTAAGTTTGTTGCAGTAAGGTATCTTGCTCTTGAGCTTCTCGCGGTCCATCGTTGTCGTTCTTTTTCTTCTTGTTGGTTTTTACTGTGGCAAGAAACTTCAGTTATTGTTTTGAAAAAGGGCCGTTACCCAGCATGCAATGCGTCACGGCATCTGTTCCCATTCTCTTATAAACTGAAGTCTGTTATAACAAGACTCCAAACATGCAAACATTTCTGTGACTCCACACAGTGCACAGAACAAGTGTTTGTTGTTTGAGCGGGTTACGATCAGACACGCAAGGCCCAGTTAAAGGCACAGTGTGTAGGATTTGTTGTTTTCAGCGACATCTAGTGGTTGAGTGGTTGAATCATCCTCCCTGGTCCTCCCCCCACCCCCACCCCCCTTCCAAACTCAAAGGAGTTTCTACGGTGTCTCTCAGGTGTCAAAAACCTTTGATAATTCCAACCGCGATGTCTACCAGCAGCTTCAGGGCTAGTGATGTTTCAAGTGGTAAGATTATGAGCTTTAATAAGTRAAATTATCCCAGCTACAATGACAGACAACAAATATTACATTTATAGTATTACAACTAAAACCGTTTTTGACGCCGCCACCACAGTTTGTCCTTCATGAGCCTTCGTAGACAAGATGGCGATGCAAGATGGCGGCTGCCTGTAGGGCGACCTGCGACCATGGAGATATAAACAGCTTTTTATAAGGTAAAAATAATAAAACAAGGTCTTTGTCTGCAATGATTAGACATGTTTTTTATTGTCAGTGATTATCTCAATTTCAGCTAAAAGAATTGACAAAATTCTACACACTGTGCCTTTAAAGCCTTATTTTCTTATTCAGACATTTAAAATAAGGCATAATTAACCCTGCTGTTTCTTTAAACAGTTATTTACTTTGTATGTTCTTTGTTTACAGTCACCTTTCCTCTTCATAATCAGTGTTCTAAGTAACAACTTGCAATCAGGTTMTTTTGGTAACATGAAATGCCTCTAAGGCAGTTTGACAGAAAATTGTGACGAGCAACATGATTGACGCTGCATGCAGCCTTGAAGGAAGAGATTGGTGTATTCGATCACAGGATGTGACACAGCATGAAAGCTGCTACATTCAGGGACTATCGTGTTTAGCTATGCATGGCACATCAACGGGTTAATTGAGTTGTTGGTTCAGTCAAAGTGGTGCATGATGAGTGAGTTTTGTGCTGAAAGGTGTCGTTTGTCAAACAACTGATGTCTCATCTGCAACTCGATGGCTTCTCGTTTAAATGTCTGCTGTTTGCCTGTGTTTTTCTAATAGTTTTCTATTCTAATAGGTTCTGGTTTCTGGTTTGTAATGTCTGAAAATTTATTCAAGGGTATTTGTTTGTTTTTGAACAGAAAAGGTCTGGATTTTATAAATCCAGTAAATGTGAAAGTTTTCAAGCAAAGGTCCAAAGCAGTGCTTCTGATTTTGTGTGACCTTAATCAGCGGTAAAGCTTTATGTCACTAGACTGGGCTGGAAATGAATAAAATAAATGAACATAAACACCACAGCTTACCAAATTATTCTGATTTAATGTTAAGGTTTAGAGAATTACCAAGTGCTGAATTTATGTCAAAACTGTTTTAAACCACAAAATGCTGAAAAGTAAAGTAAMAAGTTAGTTGACAGAGTGGTAAATAGAAAAAAGCCAATGTTTTTACTTTAGAATAATGTAAAAATTATCTTTTCTTTGTAGTTTTCTGCGCCTTCTTCTAAATGGTACGTATGATTACGTACGTCACAAGATCGTGTACGTGTTCCTGAACCACTTCCCGGAGGGTGGTCGACAGGATGGCTGGATAGCCGATGACTATCTGCGAACCTTCCTGACACGCGACGGCTTGTCCCGGTTGAGGGGGGCAAGGCCTGATGACGTGTTTGTGATCAACGATGCGGATGAAATCCCAGCGCAAGAAGGCCTCCTTTTCCTCAAGTTGTTCGATGGCTGGACAGAGCCTTTCGCCATACACATGCGCAAGGTAGCAAAAACATGCCAACAAATGTTACTTAATTAGCTTTCAGTGGTTTTTGAATTGCTTATTAATAGGAATGCACTGATATGAACATTTCAGCCGATATCGATATCCGATATAATTATTACTATTATGGCCGATAACCAATATTTACCAACATTACAAACACATTTGGTTTTTTTCTTGATACTGTAAATAAATGACCAGACCTCTGACATGACTCCCTACTTCAGTTATAACTGGCTGCTCAGCGTTAATATCACTATCATGATCAAACAGATGCCGCTCAACCAAACATCTCCCCTCCCAAAACAGAAACACAAAGCAAAAAAGTGGGAAATCAATATCGGATGTTAATATCTGCCCAGTTTTACACATCGGCCGATACCGATGTCACAAAATTTGTTCTTTTACTGAAATCAAAAAGAAAAGATGAGTAAGTCCTCTGGATGCGTTTGTCTTTAGTGAAACGTTTCATCTCTCCTCCAAGAGACTTCTTCAGTCTGAGTTTCAGGTGAATTCAGCCTTATAAGCACTGTCTCCACATGGACAAACAGGTTAGTCATATGCAAAAGAGGGCCATAGCCTAACACATGACCCTTTATGAACAATAGATCTAATCAAAAGTATTGTTAAGCGATGGCCCTCTTTTGCATGTGACTAACCTGTTTGTCCAGGTGGAGGCAGTGCTTAAAAGGCTGAGTTCACCTGAAACTCATCAGACTGAAGAAGTCTCTTGGAGAGACGAAACGTTTCACTAAAGAAGAACCCATCCAGAGGACCTACTTATTTTTTCTTTTTAATTTTTTTTCTACCTGGATTACTGAGATGCATCAGGACATTTTTACTGAAATCGTGTCTTAACCAGGCATAAACCACATGAATGTTGAATTGATTAAAATGTGAAGAGAATAGATCATACAACCACTCCAGTACTGGATCTGAATGGTGATTTAATGTTTCAAGCCAAAGCACCAGCAGCATCCAGGCACAACCCTGGAAGTACAAACCATCATATCATGTCTTCAGCATCTGGCCCGCCCACAATGGACTGAGTCCAGAGATACTCAAACAGAATCACTTTCCTTATGTTTAATTCAACGGTATCTATGTGTTGTCATGATGCTTCAGGCATGTAGCTAAAACTATTTTAATCAAGGCATAACAATAGTCACACAATAGTTTATAGAAACCAGTGCTTAAAAAGGAAAACCCATAAAATGGTGTTGTGCTTTTAGAATCAGTAAGTAAATGACCAGTAAATATCTTCACCATTATGAATGCCGATATATCGTGTATCCCTACTAATTAATATTTCAACTCATGTATCATCTTTACCAAAACCAGCTCAAGTTGTAATTTACTTGTCTTTTTCTGTGCCCAGTCACTGTACGGCTTTTTCTGGAAGCAGTTTGGGTCTCTAGAGGTGATCTCCGGCTGCACCCTGGGGATGCTCCAAAGCGTCTACGATAATGACGGCATCAAGCTGCGACGTCGGGAGTACTACACTATGCCTGGTTTCCGAAAGTACGAGAACAGCACTGGCCACATCCTGGTGCAGTGGTCGGTGGGGAGCCCCTTCCACTACGCTGGGTGGCACTGCTCTTGGTGCTTCACGCCTGAGGGGATCTTCTTCAAGCTGGTGTCGGCACAGAATGGAGACTTCCCTCGGTGGGGTGATTACGAGGACAAGCGCGACCTCAACTACATCCGGGAACTAATCCGGACAGGGGGCTGGTTTGATGGCTCTGTACAGGAGTATCCCTCTGTGGACCCCAAAGAGCATATGTATGCCCCTAAATACATGCTGGAGCACTTCAACAGGTACCGCTACCTCTTGGAAAACCCTTATAAACAAAGAGAGAATGAGATCTAAGACAGGTGGGAAATATATGCTAACTAGTAGAGCATATCTGAGGCCCCAGCACTGAGCTTTGAAGGTGGAATGTTACTGAGGAACTAAATCATTCTGTGGAGCTAAATGTACCTCCAATCAGCAACAATAATGTTGCATGGATTAAACACTTTATTTTGGGGTAAAAAGAAAAAGGGAACACTGTATCGCGACTAGAGGATTTACAAGGTGAGCATCAAGAGGATACAACCACTGGATAAACAATATGATCCTCCCTACCTGTTTTTGTTGTTATTTACCTTAGAGAGGCCAAGCTGTCTCTCCTCACCCATCTTTTCGTTTTCTTTGTCTGCCACCTGGCACGCCTGTGATAATTGGATGGCTTTAGGAAAAAAAAAGGAGAGGAAAAATAAAAGCCAGGGRTATTTTACAGGCACATCGAGATGAAAACTCTGGACTGCAAAAACTGTCCGCCTAATCAAGTTTTAAAATCTTATATCCAGCCAAAAAGTCTTTTTGATCTTGTTTTGAGAGTGATTTACTAAACAAGAACTGATTGTGTAAGAATAATCTTGTTTTCTTATTTCTAGAATCTTGTCAAGTAAAATTTTCTTACTCCATTGGCAGAAATTTTTGACTTAGAGTCAAATTTTCAGACTAACAAGACAAATAATCTTACACATTCTGAAAACAAGATTATTATTCTGACACAATCAGTTCTTGTTCAGTAAATCGTTCTCAAAACAAGATCAAAAAGACTTTTTGGCTGGTTATAAGATTGTAAAACTTGGTTAGATGGACAGTTTTTGCAGTGAAGTGAAGAGCGTTTCTGTCTTTGTTTGCTTTTATTAAAGTTTACAGACTGTCTAATGTTCCTGCTTCACTCTTCACCCTCAGATGTCTTCCTGCCTTCTTCAGTTTTAGTGATCTTCTTCCAAAACCAGACTTGTGTTCAGATAATGGTATACTTGGGTCTCAAAAGATCAAGCCTCTTTAGGGCTTAACCTGCAGCCAAATGAGCGGATCAGCTCAGTAAAGAGGTTTTTGCTCCTACAGGTTCATTCATGTATATGCACCTTAGGCTTGTCTGTGTGTTTGTGAGTTGTGTGTGTGTGTGTGTGTGTGTGTGTGTGTGGGTTGTTTTTGTTGTGTGAATTAAGGGGCTATGAAGGAGGCAAGAGATCATGAGAGTAAAGTAAGACCAGGAAGCACACAATGTGCATCAATGAAGAGGAAGGAATTTTTTTTCATGCATTCTGATTGGCTATGACCAGTTTTTGCATTGCATTGCCTGTTCTTTTTTCTGATTTCCTTCTGTCCTTGTATTAAATCAGATGAAATTGCCAACTTGTCYTGAAATTTTCTGTCACTCACGCATGCGTCCTTTACCCTGACTCTTACTGCAGATTTATTTCCTGGTAATCCTTACACAAACCGTCCTGTTTCAGTGTTGGATACCAATTCATCTCGTCCGTCTCGTTTCTCTTTCTCCCTTGAAAAGACACGATGGCTTTAGTTCCCGTGGCAGTGCCCTGAGATCACTAACATTTGACTGTCGAGGCACGAGTGCTCATGCATCGTGACCTTTTCCCTGCTATAAACAGCTGTCAGAGCGGCTAGATGTCTAAATCTCCTCCCCCAAACGGTTTGGCAGAATGTAGTGGATGGCACCCCTCGCTGTTGGCCTGTGTATGTGTGTTTGATGACAGAGGAGGACTCGGGTTTGTTTCTTGTCAAGGGCAAGGAAATCACGGCAGCAGTGCAGAGAGGAAAAGCCGTACAAGGAACAGACAAACACAGCTCGAGAAACATTATACAGTAATTTGTCTTTGAAATGCAGATGTCCACCATCTGTTTCTTCAGTGCCTGAGCTTTACTGAAGTTTTTACATCAGCTTTAAGCTAGGGTGTTTGTTTTGTTTTTTGTTTTTTGTTTTTCAAGGTGAAAAGAAAATACTTTAGAGGAAGAAACTTGATGAGTGGCTCAGAGGTGGTAAAAAAAAATCTGAAACTGTTTCACGTCCTCAATAGGCAAAAGTTTGGTGTTTATTGCTATGATTTAGAAACAAGAAGTCTGGCAYGGATCATTTCAGTGCAGAATTGCTCTTCAAAGCTTTAAACTCCTATTGGGGGAAATGAGATCAGCCAGTGACGGTTGTTTCTGGTCTGCTGCTGCTTCGATAGCAGCATGGTCAAGCAGTGACAGATGTTGAGGATTTGGTGTTTGTATCGAGAGCCAAAAGGCCGCCTAAATCCRAGGAGGTTGCAGGAATATAAGTGTTTGTGAGGTAGGGTTGGGCAACATTAGCAAAAAAATTAAACATGATTAATTGAGGTATTTAGCTGATAAYGATTAATTTGACGATTAATCCCCCGGACACCCTTATGTCCTAGTCACGTGAACATTTTCGTGGGAAAGATTTGCTCTTCGTAAAAATCTTGTTCCAAATTGTGTCAAAATTACAGACTTCAGGCTGTACATCAAATTTTAAATTGTGTTGATAGATAAATAAATTGCAGAACTTTTTTTTAAATATATTTGTCATATTTGAAGCGGAGAGGAATACCAAGATGGCTGATCTGGGAAATCTCCAGTCAGTCTGCCTGGTGGCAGTTTGTAATCGTATTGATCGTCAAGTGCCAAAAAATAATCAATTAATATTTGCTGGCGATTAATTGCACACGATACGATAATGCCCAACCCTAGTGTGATGCTTTTTATTTATGAATTTAATTTTTGTTATTTAGTAGCGAGGAAACATTTTAACAAGTTCATCTTGCAGGATTTGGAGGTGAATTTGGTAAAGATTCACTTTTTGTGGCAACTGTTCAAACAGGCCTATGTATACAGAGTTAATGAAKTTATGAACCAACCCCTTGGGTGTTTTCTTGGAAAATACCAAATACTCACTGTTCTCTACATAAAACAAAAGACTCAGCAAATGATCTATAATTGAATATTTGCTAAACAAATTAAATGTGCCTCCTTCCTTCAGAGTTTCTGGTCTCAGACTGCAGTTGTGTGGATCTGCTCTGTGTTTGTGTCTCGGTGATGTTTCCATCCTCGCGTTTATGTAACGCTGTTAGCAACAACAAAGAAGTGGTGGGGTGTTGGTTTAGCTTAACTCTTGTCTCAGAAATTCAACCACAAGGAGGTCCCATAAAGATACAGAGTGGGTTGTTTGTGTTTTACATGCTGCCAAAAGGACGTATTTCAAGTCAACACGCAACTTGTTAAAGTCAGGCTTTACATGTGAACAGCATGCATGACTCCATGTGTGGCAGCCATTCTGGCTCAAACCTGATAAGGCTATTGCAGAAATAGTTTTTTTTAATTATTTGGTCTTGTTTTCGCCTTGACAACGTCCCCCTGATGAGCTTCTGAAGTCCATTACAGGCCGAGGTCATCCGTCMAGATTGCAGGCCAGTAGTTGAAGAGGTGAGCGCTGAGGGCAAACTGTGGTGTCAATAAACAGTTTTCCACTTACTTCCACTGACCGTATTTAGCTCAAATAAAATAAATGCTGAACCTCTCACAGCAATGTCATTTGGAGTAAAAGTCACAGTTTGCTGAGCTGAGAAGAGTGATATGCACACGCCCCTCCTTTTTCTGCAGTTCGACAGCATGCTATCACGGCTGCAAAGCAAATAAAAACAGGAAAGGTATACTGGTAAATCATTTAAGTAGTTTGATCTATGCAATAAAATTCTGGAGGCAGTTTTAACATATGGTCTAAGATGAAGCAACACAGCATCAGTATATTAAGAAAATCTTTAATATATATAATCAACCCCCACCCCCAAAAAAAAAACCTGTTTGTAGCACTCAAGCAGCAGTTAAACAAGATTTCATGTTTAGACATTTCTCAAATTCCTGCAGAGTTCAGACAGGCATTACTCAACTCAGCATTTTTTTCTTAATTTTTTTTTTTTTTTACAAACCCGTTACTTGAACAAGGTGTGCAATCTTATACTCCTGACATTCTGCTCCTTGGGTCATTGAAGATTAAAAAAGTAATGTACACATTTGTGGTACAGTTGCTGTTGGAGCTCTGTGGAAAACCAATTTCATGGAGAGATGAAGCAGAGTTCCGAACGTTCCACGTAGTTCTCGCAAACTGTAATCTGTCAAATGAAAAACCCACAATGTAGGAAATATTTTACTTTATTTTATAATTATCGAACTTCTCTTCCACTTCCACTTTCTGCTTTGTACTTTAGGCTTGAGTTTGCACCTTCAGGACTTGTTGTGACTAAACATCATGCATGAGATGAGAGAAATAGACGGAGGAATTCTGGATCAAACTGTGACATTTAAAGAAAACTGGCACTTTCAKTTAAACTCAGCTAAAGATTAAATTGAAACTTGCAGGGAAATCCATGTAAAATTGCTGGAATAAGAACAAACCRTTTTTTAGGACGTTTACTGCAGCCCTGATAGGAATATACAGCCTAAAACCACACGTTTCACTCATAAGAATGTCAGCATCAGTAATAGTTCTTCGTTTTATCCAGAGATAAACTTGTCTTTTTTTAGTTTTATTTTACAGATTCTGGTGCAGACCAGATTGCTGTGGAAGCATCTCTGCGTGAGGTTTAATTGATTAAAGTCACTGATATTTAGCAAACAGGATGTTGCCATTTTTAAGGTGACTGAGTGGTTTAAAGTTGGGATACTGAAGGTTTGTTTGTGTTCTGTGTGAACTTCAGCACATGCCTTCCTGATCAGAATTTGGGTTTTGGCCAAGTCTTGCCTCAGCTGTAACACAACAGTGTTTTATGTGGCGTAATTAAGACCGTAGAGAATAGTTTTAGGTAATATTTAACAAAATCTCAACTTTTTACGACTCGMAAAAGTAAACTCACGTCTAATCAGACTGGCCTTTTAAGGCCACCCCATTATTGATTGACTCTATTTGCTAAGACGTTCCAAACGTGTGTGTGTGTGTCCGTGTCCGTGTCCGTGTCCGTCCTGGACAGATGTCAGCCTGCATTTGCCCCCTCCCACCCCAACACGTTCCACCATATGTTATTGTGCTCAGAGAGTAGCTGCCTGTGTACCGGGCCTACATACCTTCATGTTTCTGGATCCCGGCCGGCCATGTTGTTTCCACCAATTGAYCTCTTCTAAGAATCATTGGCAGCTTGCAGATTAGCAATTATATAAAGGGAGGGGARGTTCCAGTATCCTTGTTTGCATTTTTTTTTCTTTAGAAAACGAACACATTGCTGATCAAAATACAATTTTAAACCTCCTTGTAAAGGTATTTTGAAACAAATCAGCGTGGGCCATTTGGTAAGACAAATATTGCAATATTAAAGATGGTTGTACTTTTCATTTTAGTTGTGTGTTAATGATGATTTCTCAATTGGAATGACTCAAAACAAAATGTGATCAAATTTAATTAGAGGTAGGACTGGAACTTTGTATACAAAATGTTTTTCTTCCAGTTGTAGCCTCGGCTGACTTTTAACTCTGTTTAAGATCTTGTTCATAACAGTGGCGGATCTAGGATTTTTCAACGTAAGTGG